GCCCCACCCCCACCCCAGACAACATCACCTGAAGGCACGTGGTTCAGAAGTGCGGATTTGCCCCTTTCTGAGCATTGGGGTCTGGCTCCACCCCCACACAGGTTCTCCTAATGGGCAAGCATCTCCAGCCTCTCCCCCAGCTTCAGTCCCGCTGCCCAACTTCAGGTCCAGCTGAGCACCTGCCCCAAACACCAGGCCAGCAGCCAGGCTGCCCCCTACCTGCGAGGCATCAGGCTTTAGCGCCAGCCTCTCCCTCCACCAGCCCCACAGCACCTGCTAAGCAGACTTGCTTGTGCCCCCCTGAGCCACTCCAACTGCCTTAGGTGTCCTGTCTCCTCCCACAGACTTCTGGCTCCTGGGGTCAGAACCTGCAATCTGCCTGCCTCTCCTCCACTCAGAGGGGGCGGTTCTTTGCTCCCGAGGTCAAGGTCGCAGGCTTTCCTCCAGCCCTCAGCCCAGCGTTCCCTTAATCTCCCCTTATTGCTGTTCTTCCCCCAAGTGGCTTCCCCCAAGCCTTTGGGCCCCAGCTGGGGCTGTGTGCATGTCAGGCCCCTTGCCCAGTGGCACCCATGACAGGGAGCCCTATGCACAGATCTGTCCCACCTGCAGCAACTCTGGTCCACCTCTCCTGGGCTCCCCTACCCCTAAACCCCTGGGGGGTTGTGCCCATCAGTGAGCAGAGAAGAAATGAAAACTCTGTAACAAGCAAGCTCTTCCTAACAAGACAGCACCCTCAGCCCAGCAGGCTGCCTGGCCCCCTCACTGTGAGTGCCTATCTCCTCCCTTTGGAGCAAGACTATCTGGGCAGCCCAGTCAGCAGCGTGCCTGCAGAGGACAGCAGAGGATCCCCCAGGAAGAGCCTGGGACCTCTAGGCCAGCTGGCTAGCTGAACCCAACCTGGGGGGCTGCACCCAGCCCTTTCATTCCTCGGCTTCACTGCCTGGGCACCCTGCATAGACAAGGCTGGCACCAGGGGCGCTAAATGTCTTAGGTGACTCTGGCCTCTACCCACCCAGGGTAGCCCCCACTGGCCCCAGAACAGGTGGGTGAGGGGGCTTCTGTAAGAACAGGGAGCACAGTGGGCCTCACTGGGCCCCGGGCTGGCACCAAGTGGTTTAACTCCCTCCATCCTAGGAGCTGGACCTCCAACCTCCAGGCATGGGCTGCCCACCACCCGAGGATAGGGGGATGTTTCTGGTTCCTCTGCTGCTGGTCCTGTGACTCAGCACTTAATCCCCCTTAATCCCCCTCAAGGAGGCTGAGCCAGAGCAGCCTGCTGACTCACTGTGCAGTCAGCACCTCTGTCCCCCACCCCACCAGCTGCCCCCACAAGGCCTGGCAGGGAGGGCCTGGGAAGACCTGGGAGGGCAGCCACCAATGCTCCGCCTCCATGGATGCCCCCCAGGGCTTTGGCATCCCTCTTTGGAAAGGTTACTTTGACACCAGGACTCCTGGGATCCTGAGCTCTGAGCTATTCCTAATAGCACCCCAAATCAGATAGTCATTGTGTGGGTTCCCCAGGGCAGGACATGGAACCTCCCACACACACCCCCACATACCCAGAGCAGGTGCCAGAGAAGTTGCTCCCAGCTCATGAGTGAGCAGGGGGGGCGGGCGGGGGGCAACTCCACAGCCTGGACCTCTGGTGCCAGAAGGACAGGGAGGGAGCTCCCATCTCTGCTCGTGCTTAGGGGGAGCCTACCCCAGTCTCAGCAGATGTACAGGCTGTCCCCTGGCCTGACAAGGGTGGGCAGAGATCCTGAGATCCTCTAAGGCCACTGGGGACCCTACTGATATCCTGTTCCCTGTCTAGATCCAACACTCCCTACCCCTGATGCAGCAGACCCCATGGGATCTGAGGAGGCTCACCGAGACATGGCAGCCTCAGAGCCCCAAGGCAACCCCGCCAGGCAGGCACCCCTACCCGTCAGCTGGGCCAGGCGCCCCGAGCACATGCCCAAGGACTCTGAAGCCTCTCTGGTTCGGGAGACCAAGGGAGGGTACCATACAAGGCAACCTCTGAGCACAGGGACATCTGCAGCGGCCTCCGCCTTCCCTTGCCACGTTGGCAGAGACAGACCTCAGGAGGGGGACCCAGCCAGAACCTGAGCCCCAGCCTCACAGGAGGCCCCTCCTCCCCCAGATGCCTTCTTGGGAGGTGGCTTCCTATGGATCCCTCAGTGGCCCAGGGCATGAGACCGCCCCCCACCTGGGATTGTTCCCCACCCTCCTCGCC